CCCACCTCTAAATCCACCTCCTATCCAATAAATTCCAAATCCCGATGATCCTAATATGACTATCCGTAATTCGTGCTTCATTGAATTCGATCGTAGACAAAATCTCTTCTTTAGGTATTCTCAATACTTTGAGTCTTACAAAATCTGGGAAGAATGAATTCCATCTCTTCAAGCTATGTTAGAAATAGATTTTAGATATCTTCTTATCCTACAAGAATGGAAATTCGACAAACATTTTGAACTCGAACCAATAGTTTATCATCAGCTTGTTCGAATATTCTATTCCAATGCCGTTTGTGTTCAAAATTGGGATAAAACTAAAACCATAGGAGTTAGATCCTACCTTCTAGGAAAATTCATCTATATTGACTCGGAATACATAGCTCGTGCATTTTGATTAGATAATGTCGGTTTAGACAATGAAAAACAAACGGTAGGTACTCCTTATAAAAGAAAGGAGAGTGCAAGTGTATAGATCTCCATGATCGTTTTCTTCATCTGATGATCTCTTGGTGGTTTTGATCATCAGGAGGAAAATACTCCACTCTTAGAGCCCTAGATCTTTGGTGGATACATTGTATCCAAAACAATAATAAAATAAACCTACCTCAGATTATCTTTTCAGAAATTGTTGAAACCGTAAACCTAGTTCCTAATAAGAAACTTTGTACATCTCTAGTTAACGATTGTCTTCTTAGTAATCTGTTTGTCAAAGCCGAGTTTAGGGTAAGCCTTGATGCCCCCATCCCTCTCAAAAATCAAATTAATCTTATTTCCTTAACAAGATCGGGATGGACAAAGGATAAGAATACCGGGGAATGGATTCGATCTGCTGAGCATACACCGGGAGCTAGTTCTTCAAGAGCTTCACCGACACCGAGAGTGGATGATGATCCCGAACTTCAACAGCTGATGCAAAACATTGACGAGGTTCCCGATGATGAGCCGGAGCAACACGAGGAACAAGCACAACAAGAGAATCAAATGCCTCCATATTTTCGATCTTTTATGGAGACATTCGACTTCCGGTATGCATCAATGGATTCACGGTTTACATCCATGGAGTCTCATTTATCTGCTATGTGGACTCAACAATTGGAGAATCAACAAGAGATTCGGGCTAATCGTGATGCAATGGATAACCGATTAAATGCTATATACGATATACTCAATGCACTTACACGAGATGTGGCCAATATATGGACACATCTATCACCTCCTGATCCTCCGATGGAGTAGACATTGCCTATTCCAGTTTTGCTTTAGATTTAGAACTATGAATTATGAAACATTTTGATGTTTATGGATTGTTTTTATTTTGGATGTTCGAATTGTTGGATACTTGGATGTTTGAACTTATTATATTTAGCTTGGTTTGAATTTTTCAATTTGTGCTTAATGTTTATTAATTTTTGCATCATTCACATATTAGTTGCATTATGACCAATTACCATTGCACATTTGTTTATGAATATTGAATTATGAAACTACTGGCTAACATTTCTCTTGATTGTGATCTTAGCAGCTTATGTTTTATTCATTTATCAATTGGCTTAAATTTCAACAACATTGTTTAAAACCGTTTTAGAGTTTTTTTATTTAACAAAAAGGGGGAGAAGTATTAGAGTAAGGGGGAGTAATTTTTGGAGTAATTTTTCAAAACTTGATTTCAACATGTTTTTCAATTAGAAAATCTTAAAATTACTACAATGTTTTGTTACATCAAAAAGGGGGAGATTGTTGAAAAATATTTTGATGTTTCAATATAACAAATTAAATGTTACTGGATTTCAAGATTTTCTAAAACATTTTCAAATATATATTCGATCAAACTATTCGAATATCAAAATATTACTCCAAGTTTTTCAAATGTTTATTTCAATCCTTACTCAAGTGTAAAAATGTGTTTTAATCTTTTAAATAATTTTACAAAGTATTTCGAGCCAAAAGTATTTTCTTAAGATTTCTTAAACGGAACAACCAGATTGCTCGGAGGGTACCGATACCCCCCAAGAGGGTACCGATACCCCCATCTTATGACGGTTGAAATATTTGAATTTTACACAGCAGGGAACCGATACCCTATGAAGGGGGTACCGATACCCCCCACGCTCCTCAATTGTTTTATTAATTGTTTTCACACAATAACGGCTAAATTGACTCCACTAATCATCCACAACGTTCAAAAGTGATCCAAGGAGTATTTAAACAAGCTTAGAAGTCATTGATCAACAACAAGAAACAACAATTATCAATAATCAAGAGAGAATCAAAGAGAACGCATCAAACCTCAAGTTTGAGCAATTTCAAGCATATTCAATATTCAATTTTGCTTTCAAGAACACTTGTTGTGCTCAATTGTATTATTCTTGAGTGTTCTTTCTTTGTTATAGAATTGTGCAAACATATTTCCTTGTGAGGATTTACTTGCAAAATTTGTATTGTTCTCTTTGTAAGAGAGTATTCTCAAGAATTTGGGGTATAATTCTTGAGGGAGTTGTAAGGTTACTCTTTGTCCTCAAAAGAAAGACAAATTAGTGAATTTGTGGAAAATCTTTATTGTGGATAGGTAAGGTAGTGGGCGTAGACTTTGGTTGAGAAAGTCGAACCGCTCTAAATCGATGTGCAAATATTTTCAATTTTCTGCAAAAGTTTCCATCAAAATTTTTATTGTCAATTCACCCCCTCTTTGCCTATTCCGTCGATCGATTAACTCAACAAGGGTAATCAGCTAGGTACCAATTTTTGGGCGCTGTAGGGGTGCTAATCATTCCCGCTTGTAATCGACTCCCGAACCTATTTCTTGATTTTTGCAGACCCTAAAACTTAATATTTTGACAAAAATAAAATATTTTATGAAAATCACCCGATTTTTATGATGTCTTAATCGTACTTAAAATGATTGGTAACAAATCCTCACATTTCAAAATATTTAAAATAAAAAAAAATCCAAAGTCGATACTTATTTTTGCCACCCCAGAGGGAAATAACGTCGACAACTAGATATATTTAAAGCAAATAAAAAGACAATTGGGAAATTAGCTGATGGTGCTGAAAATTTAAAAACACGTTGAAAAGAAAACACTAATGATGAATTTTTATTTCAATCGTAATCATGGAGTTTGACTTTATTAAACATTTACAACAATATGAACGGCCCCTAATTTTACTTGGCCAAGTATTTTGTTTGTTTTCCCACCTTTTTTTTCTTTTCTTTTTTCCGGTTCTTAAAATTTTATTAATTAATTTAAACTGATTCGAGTCACACACTTAATTTTAGTAAATAAGTATTTTATTGGATATTTTCTGCATATATAAAAGTTCAAACTCGAGATGTGCTTAAGTGATATAAACTACTTACCACTTAAATCATCTCATTTATTATTTTCCCACCTTTTTGATGATAGCTATGCAATGCAATTTTTTTAGAAAGAGAATTTTATTACTATTTTGTAGATTTCAGTCAAACAGTGAAAAAATCCTTCAAAATGAGAATTATTTGCTATATTTAAATTTTGAATCTAGTAAAAATATAACTATATGAACATTTATATTATTTTTTTGAATTAGGGATGTATACAGGATTCAAATTTAATAGGTTTTGAATTGATCCAGTTCGACTCAATCCTATAAAACTAAGGTTTTTCTTTTCAATTCGTATTTGGTCGGCTCAATTTTTCTAAAGATAAGGTTAGATCGGATTGAGTTCATGTTAGGGTGAAAATTTCTCAACCTGATATAATTATATAATTATTTCTTATATATTTAGGTATATTTATAATAATATCTTTTTCTACACAGACATACCAATGGTGGATCTATGAATTAAGAAATGGGGGTCCAAAATAAATGAGCAACAACTTACCGACGACTTGATTGAGGAAGTTCACCGGAAAATCACCGGTGAACGGCGTTGTGATGGGTGGTTTAGACACAAATAAAAGACTGAGAAATGAGAATTGAGTAGCAGTGAGGTTGGAGTCTGTGAGTTTGAACGCAAAACAGAAGCTTTAGTATTAATAATAACTGAAATGAAAGGTTTTTAAATGATATATATTATTTTAATTAGTTTTTTAATTAAAAATATGGAATAGATTGACAGCTTCCGATCACAAATTTCAACTAAAAAATAATTGTGCGGAAAAGATAACAAATTTTAACTACAAATGTGCAGAAAAGTCAAAAATAAAATAAAAAGGGTGTGCAGAATTTTAAGTTTTAATATAGTATAAAAGTGTTGGTATTTTTTTAAGGAAAATGGGTATGCAAATGCTATCTCGTGGGCCACATAAGTCCGCCCCTAAGACACACATATATGTATTAAGTCTATTTTATTTAATGAAAATATGAATCATATATATACATATATAAATTTGTGTGTCGTAATGAGTTTTTCTCTTAAAATTGGATTAAATTTCAAGTCGAATGAAACTTTCCTAATCTCAAATCGGATCGAATGAAAAAGTAGTATCTATTTAGTTTTTTTTTAAAAAAAATTTGAAACATGAAATTATATATATATCTTTCGAATAATCTAATGTGATTATAAGGTAGTATTTTTACAGATGCAACTACTTGAACTTAACACCTCCAAAAAGAATAAAATTTCATTTAACTATCGAGGTCCTTTAATGAGTTAAGAATTATAAATTTTTAAATGAAATGATCACAATTATCAAGTAATTAAACCCAATTCTTAAGTGAATTGAATGATTTAGGGTTAGGGTATTCATGTGAAAGAAACTGAAGCTGCACCAGAAAATAATAAGCTATATCAAAACTTGAAGATGAATCATAACCTGTGATAAACTAAGACTCCATAAAATAAATATTAAAATAAGAAACACATTGTTTTTCCTTAAAAAAGCAGTAATTCTACAAATTATCCATTTGTTTTGGTTCTTTTACAGCCGCCTTTTGATCAAATCAACCCAGAATCATCGCCATCTTTATAAATATCTGGGAAACATATATGAAGTAAACAAAACAATCCCCAAATAATAGTATTCACTCCTTCATTAACAGCCATGGAAATGGAAGACAGCTGCCACCTCCCTCCAGGCTTCCGGTTTTGCCCTACCGACGAAGAACTTGTTCTTCACTTTCTCTACCCCAAGTCCTCCCTCTTGCCTTGTTATCCCAACATCATTCCCGACCATCTTCATCAGCTTCACCCTTGGGAACTACATGGTCAGCTATTCTCTCTCTCATTATTATTACCTGCTATGTTTAGGGGTGTTAACTGAGTTGAATAGATCAGGCTAGACTCGACTAAAACTTGGTTAAAGTTCGACTTGATTTAATTCGATTCAAGTTTGAATTTTAATTGAGTCAAACAAGACTTGACTTAATAAATTCGTGAACTACTCATTAATCTTTTTTATAGTTTTTAGGAGGTCGATTCCCTTATTTTTCAAATTTATTATGTATTATTAAACTTTTTTTCAAGAATGGTTATCGCTCGACTCGAATTATTCACTCAAATTCAAGCTTGACTTGAGATCTTAATGAGTTGAGTCGAGCAAGACATAACTCGACTCATAAGTTTGAAAACCTCTCATTAGTTTTTTTAAAATTTTTAAAACAATAATGATCTTATTTTTTTAGATTTATTATCTATTATTAAACTTTTTTAAGAATGATTATAATACGTTAGTTTGATGTAATTTTGGATTATTACCTTAGTTTTAATATGTTATTTTGATGTATATGTAGATTGTTACTTTGGCGTTTAGACTTTGAAATTCTTTCACACACAATTTTAATCATTTTCCCCCTTAAATTTATTAATTTATGTTTATACTAATCTCTATACAATATTAATATATTTTATATATATTTTAAGACGTAAATTCTAGCGAGTTTAACTATCAATGAGTCGAGTCAAGCAACAATTCTTTTTAACAAGCACGAATCGAATAAAATTTTGTTGAACTTATCGACTTACTCGATAAGCACCCCTAGCCATGTTACCATTGTTAATTTATGATTTCAATTTTATAAGCATCCATTACATCCACAATTACCTGCAGTTGACTTGAAGTGTCATGCAGAGTATTTGCTACTTGCAGCTGTAAACGTTCTTTTCTCAATGATATTTTGGCTTACTCGATAAGCACCCCTAGCCATGTTACCGTTGTTAATTTATGATTTCAATTCTATAAGCATCCATTACATCCACAATTACCTGCAGTTGAAGACTTGAAGTGTGGACGGATCATATATTTCATGCAAAGTATTTGCTACTCGTTGCTGTAAACGTTTCTTTCTCATTGATATTTTGGCTTTGTTGAGTGAACAGGGAAGGCGCTGTTGAGCGGAAAACGATTCTTCTTCTTCAGCCAAATGATGGAGAATCGAGTCCTGGAAAATGGGTATTGGAAGCAACTGGATATTGAGGAGCCAATCTTCAGTTCTGGTTCAGGGAAGAAGGTTGCAGTGAAGAAATTGTTCGAATTCTGCATTGGTGAAGCTCCCTTCGGCATAAAAACAAATTGGTTGATGCAGGAATACCATCTTTGTAATTGGGCCTCACCTCTTTCATCACACTTTTGCAAAACAAAGGGACACAAAAAAGTGGTGAGTAATCTTTCTTATCAATAAGTTTGTTTATTATCTGGTAAATTATGCATGTAATTTCTAATTAAGCTGTTCTTGTTAATATATAGGATTGTAGTAAATGGGTTCTTTGTAAAGTTGAAGAGAAAAAGGGCAATGCTCAGAGCTTGAGCTACAGTTATGAAGATGGAAGTGCGCTATCATGCCTTGATGAAATGTTCTTGTCAATGGATGATGATCTTGATGATATATCTTCTTCTAAATTCATCTTTTGAATACTTAATCTTCTAGGTTTTGATGATTTGTTATTATTATTATTATTATATATATATATATATATATATATATATATATTACTAAAACTAAATGCTTTGTGAAGTCATATATATAATATAGTAAAGTTTATAAAGTACGGAATATGTATACATAGTACATAGTTTATTGGGGGGAGTGAATGTGATGCACAAACATAGATCTTAAAATTCAGTTAATTATTTATTTTACTAACTGAATCCATTCTGAAAATATCATTTATATCCATCTCATATTAAAGTTTTATGTTGTTAATTGCCATAATGCAATAAAATAACCTTAATGTTTGGTAATATTGTCAAATTAACCCGTATTTTTTTAACATTTAACCTCCAAACGTTTCATTTTGGGTCAAAAAACACATTCATTGAATGGAAATCATTAGTCAACTGACAATCAAAGCATGGTCTTGACCAAGCAAGAACACGCGAACCCTAATGTTGATGTAACGTGTTCATGTCATGATAGATGATTACATGACACCGCTACATCAGTTTTTAAATAAAAATTAAAATTTTATTCTTAATATTATATATATATATTTATTTAATATTTTTTGTCCAATAAGATGATGGCACGTGTCAACACAATATTGTTTTAAATTTAAAACCAAACAACAAAACATGCTTTCACTCCGGAGAAATTCACGAACAAAGCCTTCTCCTTCGCCTTTTAAAGGCTCTGATGAGGAGCTAACAATTGCCAAACACCCTGCTTTAACCACCCATGACTTCTAAACGAAATCCTAAATCACCTATCCCCTCAATCGAACCAAAAACATGTCTTGAATCATAAAAACTCAACCTTTCGAGAACCAAAAAAGAGAACAGGATGAGTTTTCAAATACTACCTTCGATTCTTCGAAGAAAACTCCTTGCTCTAGTGAAGAAAAAAAACGACGACTCATCTACGAAGAGGATAGTTTTTATGAATGGTTTTTTAATAGTTTATCTCCTTCCTCTCTTGATCTGGGTTTTCTTTTAAAAATGGTTGTTTTATTCGTTTTTTATTGATCGAATAGTTGTGGATTCCTTCTATGATTTTTGGTTTTTTTGAAAAATGGTTTTCATTCTCCTCTATTTCGTGATTTTCAAATATGTTTTCTCTATGATTTTCCCTTCTTTCCTTCATCTGCACCTTTACGTGGAGTAGTGACACTAAAGGAAGTATGGAACATAGCAGCGGTACTTCCATCGAAGACAGGACTAACCTGTGGATTGTGTGGTAAAGGAAATAATTCCGACCATAGGAACCACAACTACAGCGAAGAACTCACTGTCGGAGACCCTCTCTTCACTGCCTGTACCCAAGAGCTCCTTGCCAAGGCAGTGAACTTTTCAAAAGAACCCGTAAAGGTTAGAAAAAATCTTCATTTTGAAAAGGGCAGGCCAGGTACTTATGATTTCCTCTTAGCACGTTTATATATGTATGCAGATTGGATTTCTTTTTTCTTTCTGAAGGTGATTTTGAAGATGAAAAGCAAGCATGTGGTTGGGACATTTACCAAGAAGAAAAAGAGTATGTTATAGTAATATAATTGAAACAGGGGATGAAGAAGGTGTTTGTTAAATGTGTGAGAGACATAACGTATATGTTAAATATTTTGTGTTGCAAAAGATAAACAAATGAAAGATTTGGCTTGGTGGTTAGGTGTTGTGATTTCAAGCATACTAGCCCAAGTTCAATTCCCCACAAAAACATGTTTTGTTTGGTTTAAATTTAAACCAATATGATGTTTACACGTGTCATCATCTTATTGGACAAAAAATATTAAATAAATATTAAGAATAATATTTTAATTTTTCTTTAAAATTCTGACGTGGCAGTGCCATGTCATCATCTATCATTACCTGGACATGCCACATCAGTATCTGGGTCCGTGTGTTCTTGCTTGGTCACCACCATTTGTTGATCGTCAGTTGACTAACGGTTTTCATGCTCCAAAATAACAATACAGACAAATTTGACAATACTGTCAAACATTCAGGTTATTTTATTGCATCATGTATTGTTAATATATATGTATCTTCACATTCAAAAATATTTCTCAATCTACAACAATTGGATTCAAAAGGAAAAATCTTTGATGCTTATTGATTTGTAACTTGGCACATGTATATTTATTGTTACCCCTAGACCTGACCTAGACGTTATACCCAAATCTAGGCGGCTACATATCGTATTCAGAAACTCTTTTCATATTTAAAATAACATTAAAATACATATAACAATATAATATGAAATTAGTCATAAGAAAAGTTCATACGATAAACATATATATATACACACACACACTGTAATACCTCAAATATTGGGTCAGTGACTAAAGTGTAAGGATTTAAAAGTTAGTGGTCTAATTTTGATAACTTGAAAAGCTCAAGGATTGATTTAGAAATTATTGTTTAGGACTTATTATCAACTTGTGAAGAATGGAGGGGCAATATGATATTTTTGAAGGTAATGAATTTTAAAAAATTATTTTTAAAGGGTATTTAAGCATGTTGGGAATTAAAGAAAAGGAAAAAAAAAAGTCTTGAAACTCTTCTCTTCATATTCTCTTCTTCCTTTCTCCACTGAGACTCTCCATGCTAAGGTAAGATATTTCAAAATTGATTGTTTTCTTTCATTTCTAATTTGGTCTTGAGTTCTTGGGTGATATAGAAGTTTAAGGAAGCTTAAAGATGTGTAGAAACTAAGGGATTAAGGATTTAATGGTGATTTAGTAAAATGGGTTTTTAAGATAATTGATTGAAATTGATTGTATTTGGATTTTTAAAGATATATTTGACTTGTTAAGAGTTTAATTAAGGGGTTAGAAGTGTTAGAAAGGATTGAGAACATGTTTCAAAAATTGATATGATTTTTAGTTTCAAGAGTTCTATGGAGAATTTTGGATGTTAAAGGGGATTTAAGTGACATAAGTTGGTTGTGATAAGTGATATTGAGTTTGAGGGTTTAAATGGGGTTAAAAGTACGAGATTTAAGTGATTTTTGGGTAAATTTTGAATTGAAATAAGTGAAATATGGGTAAAGGTATCGGTACTGGAAGAACAATATCAATACTATAAGGTTAAAGGGGATGAAAATATATGAATTAGATGAACAATATCGATACTGAATGGTAGTAGTATTGATGCTGGTAGGGATATCGATACCAATAGTAAGGTATCGATATTGTAATTGAAAATAAAAATCCATAATGCATGTTAGGTATCGATACTGAAGTAGGTATCGATACCATAGAATGGAAGTATTGGTATTGGTGTAGAGTATCGATAATGTCCAATCTGAAATTGAGAATTATGTGTTTTATTTAGTTAGGTAAATGTTGACATATAAAGACAGAGTGTAAGTGAAAATAATTTTCTTAAGGCATAATTAAGGCAAAGGTGAGTGCATTTTATTTATGCATTTAAATTATGGAATGAGGAAGACTTGCGATGAGTCAACCCCTCGAATGTTTTGAAAGAAAAGGTTTTGAATTTTTATTATGAAATACTTTTATCATTCTTTTCTAAATAAATTTTGAATAATTTGGCTTGTGAGGAGTCAATCTTGAAAGCTTGATAATGAAAATGATTTGATTTATGTTATGATATTTTTCAAATATTTTAATATATTTGTATTTATGAACTATGAGTATATGATATATACAATTTAATGAAAATGTTGAATAAATGCTATGTAAAATGAAATACTATGAGAATAAGTTCTATGTGAATAAATGACAAACTTGGATAATGCTACGTGAAAATGTCTATGTGAATATGTGCTAAGTGACTGTAGTCTATGTGAATAAAAGATACATGAAAAATAAATGTGAAATAATTATATGGAATAATCCCAAGGTATATTTTATGAGAATTAAGGGTATAATTGGCATGCCAAGAGTAGAGGGTTCTATGTGGTCTTTCGGGACAAATTTATACGCGATCATTCGGGACAAATCTATGTGGAACTTTTGTGTATATTCTACGTGGCACTTTGATGCAAATTATATGAGCAGTGGTGACTGCAATTATAGTGCATAACCTCATTGTATTCACATACCTTAAGTTCTCAGTGATATACGATGGGCAAATTAAACAAATTGATATGTATTGAAAGATTATAAATAAAAGAGTATAATTATATATGTAGTTTTTGGTTATGAAATGTAAGTTGATTATGAATTGAACTTTGACTAAAAGTCTATTCTATTTATATGAAACATAATTTGATTTTCATATTAAGTATTTTTTATGAAATGTTTAAATAAATGTTTTATGGTTTTATTATACTCATTATGTCTCACTAAGTCAAAGACTTAGCGTGTGATTATTTTCACACTTAGGTTCAAAGACGTCAGCAAAGTAAGCAAGTGAATGACAACATATCTCTGAAGGATATCAGATCAGAGTCAATTGAATAGTTTGTGATTTGATTATGTGCAAATTGATGGCATGTACTAAAAATGTGTAAATCTTAGATGCTTTTATATGTATTTTAACTGTGTTTTATTAAGCTTTGTTTTCATTGTCAAGTTTTAATCGCAATTTAAAGGAGTCAAAGTGTTTGAAAAGTTAATATGACACCTCAGAGTCATACCTGGGTCATATAGGGGTTTGGGTGTTATATTTATTAGTATCAGAGCCTAGATTTAGTCAAGTTTTTGAAATAAACCAGATGATTAACTATAAAAAATGTCTAGTTTGTACATGGCAACGAAATAACAAGGTTCTCTGATCTGATAGTGTAATGAGTATGTTGTCTTTGCTAGTCTAATTAAGTTATTAGATATTAATAGATGTCAGACTACGAGGTCTCCTGAAGTGAAGCAAGATATAGAATTATTGAAATAGTAGCAATTCACCTACTCAGCTAGACAATGTGAAGAACAAGCGCCTTAGGGAGTATTTTCCGATGTTGGACGTGATTTTGAAGCGTGTTCAACCATCAACTTCCCCTATTCCTAAGATAAATGTTTTTAAAAGAGATAAAAAGTTTATGAGCACC